CTGAGAATTTGGTCATCTTTGTTTGAACGCTTGTGAATTTATTTAATGTGTACTCAGGTTAATGAATTGTTTAAACTGTTTGCAATGTTCCACTTACAGCTGCACTCAAAACAGGTTTCTGTCATGCATCACTTGAAAATCACTCACAGAATTGAAATGTACATAAGCAAAGTAGTTTCGCCCGTACGTACATCATTCAGCGCATCCGTCAATTTGAGTCCAGTAATAGTATTTCCTTGCGCTTAACTCTGAATCAGATCCGGCTACATTCAACTGACAATGATAAAAGATCTTTGCATACACAAACACACACTCAGGAGCATCCACCTCCGGGTTTTCACAGAGATAAACAGATTCGAATGACAGTAGGAACAACGACAAAAAAAGACAATTTTAGCATTTATTCACGTGATCATTTATCTTATCTGTAAACGCTTGTCCATTAATAGGCACCTCGGAAATCATGTGTCAATGAATGTTGAACAAGATCCACTAACAATGCTGTGTACAATATGTCGACATTTTGAAGTTTGGAATCTCTTGAAATGAATGATTTGTCCAGGTGTTGCACAAGAAGCGTTATATCTTCTGCCCACAGAGAAGTTCCACATGTTGAAAAGCAACTGTTCTTCACGGCATCTTGAGAAGTCCGTTAACTGCACAAGAACTCATATTTTCTCGCTATATTCTGATTGTCAAAAGTAGCTATCAAGCTTTGTGAGTGATTAAAATACAATTGTATCCTTATGTATGAAGTTGAATATTTTTCTTCGACAGGTTACAAGCCGAGTGTACATATCCGACCTACGGGTTACAATGTGTTACCTATGAATGAGTTGAAGTAGATACGAGTTACATTGGAAGTGTAAATATACAATCCTGAAAATAAAGCACATTTACCTTAACAATCCTGCCGCTAATCGTACGGATTTCGGTTAGTTGAGGGAGCAGGTATAGGTTTACTCACAGAATAGAAAAGTTACATACAACCACCCAAAGACTTCTGAAGACAAGAAACCAGTTCATACATAACATCGACTTCTTCCTAAAAAGTAACAATAACCCATGGTTTGAGTTCTACATGTGATGGGTTATCTGTGCAGGGTTGGATACACCAAGCCTGTTTAGCTGCTGCATCAATGCAGCCGGATATCGATACGCCAAATGTGAAATGCAGCAGAGCATGCAAACATGCTGTTTGTTCAAAGTGATCTTGTAACACCCTTAACAAGGATTTTTGTATACTCAATCGTCCAACCACAACGATGCTATCTTTCAAATCAATTTATGTTGTGTTGCCAGGAGAAAGGAGACAATGCAACGTTAGGCGAACCTGAATGTTCGTTCTGAGACTCTTGAAATAGGCAGTTTAAACCTTGGTTTCTAAGCCGTACGCGTACTAAGAAAGACGGAAATCAAATGCGTTGCAGTACATTATGTTTGTTTATCCCAATTGACAAAAATAAGCTTTACGGTTTTCAGGCATTCCGAGAAAACTCTTGACGAATTAGGAAACAAAGGGGATTGGAAAGCGGACATGACACCAGCTTTACTGTGTTGATAAAACAATTTACCAAGATATCGCTGAGAGAAATTGAAACTATGCTCAGTTATTCCAAACTGCTACATCTTATTCTGCATGGAGCATTTCACATGTTTTAGAAGAAGATCACTTGATGGTAGAAAAGTACTCCATGGGCTTCTGTCAACAATTTAACTGCTCGACCATCGTATGGTGTTCTAATAAAAACTGCAGTGGACAATGTGGGCAGGGAATACACATTACCAGCAACCAAATGCTCACAAACTACGGGGACAACTTACATACACGGAGTTTAAATGGCAGCCATTCAAAACCCGTCCATGTACACCTGCGGTACACATTCCTATGGATTGTTCTATCCTGCCTGCTTGTCAATAAAATGTATAAAAACAAGAGTTGATTGTTTTTTTCTTCCGGTGGGAAATGTTTATTCGTGTAAAAATTGTTCATGACTCGAATCAAAGAAGTTACTTGTTGTCGACCTTATATTCTGAATAATATAAACTGATCTGAACTATGGACTGCCTCACTCTTTAACTTCGTGACGAAATGGTTTGAAAGGATAGACCCCAATGGGCTTCCCATTGCCACACCACCTATTTGTAGATAGGGTTTTCCTTGGAAACCAAAACAGATTTCAGATAAGCATAAGAGCGGGAGACGTTCCAGTTCCGAGAACGGTGAGCCAAAACCTAAGTTATATTGCTCCATTTACTGTTCCATCTAAAGTGTATTTGATTGTCTCACGAAATAGCAACTCGGTGAATAATGATTCAGTATCGAAAGGAACCAAGAAATTATCGTTGACGTTCTAATCGTCTATTAGTTCAACTATTTCGAAACTACCCTTCATGTTATATTTGTGTTGTGGCGAATCGATCATGGATAGGATAAGCATGAATGGAATTGCTGGTTTATGTGTGTTTGGGAGGTCATACAGCTGTCAGTCGGTTTGAGTGATTTGAAGTTGCTATCACCGATAAATCTGTCTTCCTGTAATGTTTGCAATATTTGTGACCCGCATGTGGCTGCAAAGCAGCTTAAGCCGGCAGAATAGGTAAGTAGTTCGATACACGGATCAAGAGGCACATCCCATGTTGTGTTAGACGCCGATTGACCGCATCACATGATGAAAGTTCATTCTCAAATTTGACCCCTCATCCGCATGCATACGCACACCCTCCAATAAAACACTGAGTAAAATCACACCATAACCAACCCTCGCCCTTAACCAAGGATGTGAAACAAACAGCCTGCGTCATTTGTTGCCCGATTTCTGTTGATGACGTATCATGGTCTGGACCCAACAACCCCCGGCTGGTTAAGTGCGAGGAGTCGGTGGCAATCAGAAAATCTGGAGCCCGGTCTGTGTGCAAAAATAGCTGTCAGTCACACTATTACTGAAATGGCAATGGTAAAACTGTGAGGATTCGGCTGTGTTTTATTCGTGTGTAACCTGATGTACTGTTCAACGACAATAACTGTAGGTTTTTATCGTATTGTACCAGTTGAGATTCAGCTAGACGTACCTCCATAAATATCGTATAACCTAGCTTTATTGTGCTTTCCGTGCAAGTTTATCTCGAAAAATAAATGATTCAGAATGATGATGAAACAAGGTTTCCCGTTTTTTATTACTATTCTTTGTCCATTTATCAAAACATTTAACCAACATTTCAGATTTAATTTACATTTTAATAAATAGCGAAAGAATTCGAATTGTTTAAGCCTCATTTAGGATAATGTGAGAACCCAAGCGATGATGGAAGCACGTCAGTCATTGACATCAACCATGTTGAACCAACATTAATCATTCCCACCCGTCAGACACGGCACCGGAACAAAATGAATGACTGTCTATCACATAAAATAAAGTCGGGAAAACTGATGAATGCTCAGTTGTGTCTGGATTAACCTGTTTAGGCATTCATGCCTGTTTATTTTACAATAATGCGGCCGTGGAATCACCCATACGGCCAACAAAGAATCATGACCAAGTTTGAAAACAACATACACTTGCATATTTGAGCTCCTATCGTATATTTTTCCCTTACGTGAAGAAGGTTTGGTGTATGTTGTCTGGTAGGGCCTACAGCTGAGTCAAAACTCACCGGTATTTGAGATATGAACAAAATGTCAGAGAATAAATGAAAAAAATGAAACTTTGATTGTCATTATTGTGCCGTAAATTTAAAGTAAACAAAACAGTCACAGTGAAAAAAAGTATGAATCCAGGATTGCATACTAATTATGATCTGGTTTGTCGGTTGACTAAGCAACTAAAGACTATGCGCCACGATGCTTAAGACACTTTAAACAGTCAATAATTTGGTCATATTTATCAGTTTGACGTTGACCATTTAAAAGCACATTTAAGTTGACAATTTATCTTTTCACATTTTATTGATACACTGATGATCGGTGCAAAGTGGTTCCTTTCGAAATCAGAGGTGCGTTTAAAAGTGATCGTTTTCAAAAGTCGATTTTAGCTGCACAGAATTATCTTTGGATTTGGAAACAGGCGAGTACTTGTGCACGAAATCTGTATCTTGTCCATTCACAGTTAGCAGGTATTGCCGCATCGTCAAACTACACAGTGAAAGTTACCGTCTAAGAGGTCTAGCATTCATCATGCAAAATACATCCGATGGCAGTGACGTACTCTCGCATAGCTGATTATTTATTGCATAATAAAATTACATGTTTAGTTCCCTGATCCATAAGTAATATTTGTGAATTCAACTGCGGTTCACGATAGAGCCACACCGCAAATCTTCTAAGCATGCATTGTAAACATAAACGTAATGCACAATTAAAGCGCTGGTTCTACAACTGACCTGAACAGAGATAAGCGGCTTCTAATTCGAATGAAGGAACTTCGAAGGGAAAAGCATGCGGCAGTGATGAGATTAACACATTATTATTTCCCACAAACTCACATGGTGAATAAGTAGAACCTTTACACAAATCTATACAACAAAAAACAACGTACACGCTTGTGGATCTAAGGCAAAATTATTCAAGGCTAACATAATTAATTTAATCTGCTTCCAAAAGTAAATTGCCCATGATGCGGAGTTCTGTTGATCCACAATGCTTCTCCATACACTTTTATACCAAATCTTAATAAGGGAATGTCTAATTACTTGAGTATTTGCCATAAATCCTCCAAAACATTTCTTGGCTTTCCATCCCACGTTAAGTTGATGGTATTTTCCTTATAATAATTAATCTTACCTAACAGTACTTTCGACTTTATTGTTTTCCTGTTCTGCATGAATCTCGGTGATGTCGTTTTATCGACTATAACAAAGGGATTGAAATCCAACACTTATATTATATTAAAAATTCATTTTTTGGTAATTCAGGGCTCATTCCGATTTTGAAGGGCAACCATATCCTCATTGAATACGCGAGGAACGAATCGACAGGAACAAAAGGTGTTATTTAGTGCAACCTACATTTTGGAACGCTTCATTGACCCCGGACCAGACGCGGATCCGTAGTACCGTGTACCACCAACGCATTGAAAATCCGTAATTGGTTGAGAGAAGAAGGCAGTCTGGTTTTCCATATCGATTTTCTCATCGGTAGCACGCGGATGATTGTACCCACCTGTATTCGGCCCGCTCTGAGAGGAATCAACTTCACTTGATTGGGGTGTAACCGGCATTGCTGATAAGGGTGATGACATTGTGGTGTGCGTTTCCTATGAATTGGCAGATAACAGTGGAATATGGCTCAGGGTTTTAGCAAGAGATTCATCTGATCATATTTGGAAGGATTACATTCAGTTACATGCCACTAAACCAGAAGGAGCAAATGTGCGGTTGAATAATCCGTGCTGTTCAGTATACGCGTCTGAAAGGACTATCAAAAATGCTTTGGTTCAACTGGCTACACAATTTCTTTTCAACAACAGCACACATTAGTGCAGAGAACAACTGACTGAGAAATGCGACTCGCAAGTTATAAAAGGTTAAACCGACCAAACAAAGTCAAATCCCAGTTGATTCCCCATCAAGTATTACCATCCACTCAGGTTATTCAACGTTGAACTCATAGAAAATTCTATTCAGTCTCATTCATAAAACCAACACATTCTGCAAAATGTCCACCACGCAAACGTTCAAATATTTCAGGAGGAATAGGTTGCAAACCATGTCGAAGTTCCCATGAAAATTGCATATTTTAAACACGGACCAATTTCTGCAACTCGATATGATCCGATTTTATTGGTTTTTCAAACAACAGCTGTTTGAAACTGCAAATCAATTGTTAAACGGAATGTCTGAAATCATTCCTGCAAAAGTCACGCATTATTAATTCGAAGTTCCATTTATTTCACCCGTACATCCACATTTCCGCATTGTAACGTTTGCTACTCTTCCGCGGAAAATCAGGCGCAAAAAAGAACATCATGATTGAACAACGCTCTGCGATATGCGGACGATTGCGTGCCTGACGAATGTTTGGCAAATTAAAATGAACCGTGATTAGTTCTGCCTTTTTCGGCTAAGCGAATTGCAAATTGAGATCATCACACAATTCAATAAACCGACAAAAGACTTATCAGACATACCCATACATAGATTCAGTCAAATGGATTCCAGACATTGACAGCGTTCGCGGTTCACAACAAAAACGAAAAACATTAATGTTGTTCCATGAGGGGTTTTTGTATATTGCTGCGGATTTCGAATGTGAAATCGTTTTTAGAAACGCGACAGCTTGTTACGTCCATCACACAAAAAATAACATCCGCTTGGAAAATTTTTCCTCTGTATTCTACATTTTGGCTGTTTGAATCAATACTGCCCCTCTAAATGCGTTTCTGGATTCTAAACGGAATCCACTTAGGTTTACAATCATGTCTATCATTGATAAGTGACTGTTTGGGGTTGGAGCAGAGGGTCTAACTCAGATCGCCTACATTGAAAAACGATGTGATCAGCAATCCTAAATACTCTATTCATACGGACATAGGAGCCTCGTATTCCTCTTAACTTCCACGTATTTTCTTAAAAGGATTTTTACCACTCCATTATTTTTAAGTTTGTATCACTTACCCTTTATTTGCTTTATGTTTTCTTCGATTTCATGCTCAGCATTCTTCAAGAGAACGGTACAATTGTTGGAAACTTCCAATTTTGGCATAAAGAGAAAACGCGGGGACCTAAGCGACTAAGATCGTTTTCGACTTCTTCTTCGGTTATATGATCAAATTAAAACTAAAATGTGCTTCAATGTCACGTGTGATTCTTCGTTTGTGACTGTTTTGAATTTGTAATTGAGAAAGGCTACGTAGAGAGGATGCGTTTGTAACACGGTTGAAAAAGCGTTTTGGGATGTGGACCTGTCATCAGGAGTTTGGATAGCGAGTCATGAGGTGATTGACAATACATTGGTGACATGATAGACGTTTTATAGCTTTTTCATGGATAGGCATTGCTGAAAAAGGCTTCTCAAGCTGTCCGACGGGGCTTAGGAAATGGAGTGAATTACGAATATACAATATGCATTTAAACTTGTATAGGCACTTAAACCGCAAAGATAAAATAAAAGGGATACTGCCGTTCAATTGCTAGCCTTTAGTATTCCGAAGCAATTAACTGGGCCAGCTGTCATTAAGAAAAACCAAATTGATGTGGCCACCTGATGCACTGCCGGGCGCATCCTGTTAGAAATCTTTCTGTTGATCTTCAAAAAGTTGTTACAAAATGTACCAACGTTAATCAGGCAGTCAATGTCAGATATTGACCAAACAAATTTACCGTTGATAGTCTACCACTATTCTTCCGACTTCAGTGAGGCAGTTAAGTGCGAATTACTGAAGATGTGAATATACATTTATCTGTTGCATTGAATCAATCTTCCGGTCAACTATTACGTTGTTTTTTTAGCGCAAACCTAACTATGTCCCGGAAAGTACGGAATTCAGGTCGTGCAAAGTGTGCTTTTGACCACACGATGACCCAGAAAATGCAGAAAGAGGAAACCAAATATAACCGAACAAGGTCATTCACAGAACGCAGTGCTGGCAATGGAAATCTGCATTTGTAAGTTTTCCTATCAAAACAGTTTTTCCAATGAATCGTAAACTTACGTGGTCCAGTTGAGCTTAACTTCGAACAAACGAAAAAAATATCCTTTCATATCAGTTGTACATTCTGTATGAATGGCGAAGTTGGGTATTTCTGGGCATAAGTCTAAAGTAAAACCCCAGAGTTTTCAATTTAAATATTTTCGTAACCTTGTTGGGTTATCATTTAGTGTAATCTAATTCATTATTTCAGCATATGCGTAACTAATCAGAAATTAAGTTGCTTATAATGCTTACTCAATCCACATGCCCAACTATAAAAGGTAACAATGTGAAAGGAATTTTCCCGGCAAACAAATCTTTTTTTATGCGTCAAAATCTCCTTGCCCTCTGAGATCCGTGTTCTTCACGTAGAGTAAGAAATCTCACAACTTCCAGTGTATGCATTTTCGGAGATGTGGAGGAGATCAGAGATTACTGCGTGAGCGTTTACGGCTGACATATTATTTTTGCTTTCCATGATGGCTGAATCTATGTGAATCACGAGGATCTTTTTGAGATTACTGTTTCATCTTCCTAACCGGGAAAGTTCATGACTTCGACTAAACGTATGGAGAAACACACGGGGTAGCGATTCGTATAATCTACGTGTAGATCAGTTATGGAAGCTGTGTTGTAGAAAATTTTCGGATTTTAAAAAGTATAATTCACCGATTCGTAACGAGACCAAGGGTTTATTTGTTTGTTTTCATTGTATACCTGGAGAAGATGTATGACATTACCAAACATAAACTGATCTAAAATCTTGAAAGATTTCATGATGAATATCGTTTTTCATTACGATCATTTCGACTAGACATATGGCTGACCTGATTTATATATTATTCCATATGAATTAGTTATTAGAGCATTGAGTAAGTTAATATTTTGCGTATTTTCGAAATGAAAACTATTATTAGACACCTCGAGAAATGTCCTTCAGAGAAAACATGCAAAACTATAAATTGCGTTTTTCATCAAATACACTCCTATCAGTTTCCGGATAAAAGCTCCAGTGTCAATGAAAGACGAAATGATTTCGAAAACAATTGTATTTTAAACGGTTCAAACTTAACGGTAAATGTTTGGAAAAAATGAATACCGTAGGGATTCTCAATTTGATCAGTTGGTTTGAACTTCATGATTTGTAAGGTACAATAGACTGTTAATTGCTGAATCTAGCACACAAAAACTTGTTCGGTTCATCTTTGTTTCCTTGTAAAACTCAAATTGAAATTCCGGAAGAACTCACCGGTACAGTTGACGAAACAGCGTTCAGTAAATATCGAGGCGAATAGAATAACGTCATATAGGGACGCTTATACATATATAAATTGGAAGGAAATGTTATTTTATATTTGTACATGGCACATAAAATGTGCTTGCAAATAATTTCTTACATAAAAACTGCGTCTATTCGTCGGATGAATGGCCAAACTTTGATTAAACGTGGACTTTGAACGTTTGAAAAATTAAAAGACGAAGGTTTTTTTCGAATAATATAACAACTGGTTAATTTCCATTAAAAGGCATGGGTAATATCAATTCGAAGTTAGTCACATGAGTGGAAATTGGTTTAAACTGATTGCTCTTGTCACCTCTTCATGCACATTTCACATAAACATCCATCACACGCAATGACTTCCAAGAATTCCATTATTCCTCGTAAGATGAAGCTTTGAGATACAATTCCAAATAAATAGAATCTATTGATTAAAACCACATGCATAGGTTTAGTATGTCTTATCCAATGTGCATGAAAATAATACATAGGATCTCTGCCCATATCGAACTATGCTCTGTTGAATGTGAAAACTTTTCTAGTGATCAATTTGAAAGCGAAGCCGCCAGTGTGGCAAAATTGCACGAATTATGTCCTAGACGATGTCGCTGCATCTCAACTGCAGACAAACACAATGTGTATACAGGGTTTGGAAATGGAGTACAAATAAACACTAGTAAATGAGGGAGGCATCACCAAGTTAAGGCCAATGTGATGAACAAGTCCTTCTGGTGACAAAGAATCGGTTTCCATCGCTTGATTGCAATCGTCTCGGCAATCTTGAGCATTCTGGTGTTATCATTGGTAAAAATCACTCGAAATGCTTTCTCACGATCAACGAGGCGTTGCTTCATCAGCATGAACTTGGCCATCGATGAACTTGGTGTTTTCTAACCACAGTACTAACCAGTTACTTTTTGTGCGGATTTTGACGTAGAAACGTTGCATTTAACGCAGTTCGGAATGTGTTTTAAAACCCAATTACGTGTTTGCCTTTCTGTTCTCTCTAATTAAGTGTCTCCACACCCACATTGAAATTGGTAGAATGCGTTTGAGTTGGCGTACAGAGATGAGCGCTCTTTAACCCTTGTTCTGTTTACAGTTCTGAGTTTGGTTGCGTGGTAAGTCCGGTTGAAAACTAAACGCAACCATTGTTGGATTAGGTCAGTTCCGTCATCACCTTTGAATAGAAGTCAAATTGATTTCTCCAATCTAAACGCTGAAGCAACAACGGACTTTTAATCCTTCAGTCCACTGTCCCTGTCAACAGATACCTCTGGATACCCCTTTATTGGTAACTTGTTGAGCA